ACGCTGCACGGGGTTCGAACGAGCGGGGATTTAAAAATGGCGGCACCCCACTTATGCAAATGAAGCCCGGGAAATTCAAATCCCGGGCTTCATTTGCAAGTGCGGTATGCCTACATTACCCCGCTAGTTCGAACTAGGAGGGTAGTGTAGACATACCCTCCATGTTTATCTGCCTCAGACAGAGCCATATGCAGCTGACATGCTAGGAGGGGGAAGGCATCACCTTCCCAAACCGACAGCCTGGCCCCACCCACACTCCATCCCCAGAACACCTGCTGTAGGCATACTGAGGGTGGAGTTTTGCTGTCCCTGAGAGCCTGCCCTCCCATTTCTCTGGGGCAAGGGAGACTGGGTCCATGAACTAGCCCACCCACCCTCCCTGTGGTGTGGGGAGGGCCAGGGAGGTGGCTTGGCTCCCATGGGGGTCAAGGCCTGGCAAAAGGGGTGGGGATGGAGATGGGAGCTTGCTTCCCATGGGCAGAGTAATCCCATGCATAGGATGGTTTGGGCAATCTCTCTGACCCTGGACTTTGTGGAGACCTGCTGTTCATGGGGCTGCAGAGGCCCGGAGGATTAGCAGGGGACCTGGCACTGGTAGCAGGTGTTAGGCCTACTCTTGCACTCACCAGCAATAGTAGGAAGCAGGTAACCCAGGCCTCTCCAATCTGCTAGCTCCCAGCATCATTCGGGGTGGGAGGAGGCTAAGGAAAAGGATGGAATGGGGGCCAAGAGGGAACAGAAGCAGGGGTGGGAAGAGGTGGGGTAGAGGCAGAGCAGGGGGGGGTGCTTGGGCAAATGGGTGGAGTGAGGGTGGGATGGGGTGGAGTAAGAGGTATGGAGGGGCAAGGCCTGGGGCAGAATGGAGAGGTGGATTTTCCCAGGCCCCGCATGCCCCTAGAAACGTCCCTGGCCTCACAATGATTTTTTAAGTGTTCCTGCCACAATTGTTTCCAAGAATGAGTGGGAAATACCTTGTTTTGCAATGTTAAGAACATTTTGGCAACCTTTTCTTTGCGAAATAATACTGTTTCCTTGCTTTAGAGCAGGGACTTGAAATTTAGCAGAGAGTGTCAGGGATGCCTTTTGTTCTTCCTGTGAATATCCACCCAAGCTTGAACAAGTTATTTGCCTCTAAAGAACTGTTTGCACATGCTTCGCAGAGACTCCATATGCATTGGGCATGCTCCAGTCCCTCACAGCTGCTAGTGGGTACCAGACCACACAAGCACCATCCTAACAAAGCATCTGAGCTTGTTCAGAAGATCATTGGGACTTACCCTGTAACAGCAACTGGAGTGAAACTATCAAAACTTGGGGGATGCAGAATCTGATCTATATTGAGGTCTCAGTTTCACAGCTGGCCCTTGTTTCTAAAATAGGTCAAATCAAAACCCCACATCTGAAAACACACAACTTTGGAGTTCCTTAAATTCAGATCTCAACTGGGTCTCAGGTCCATCTCTGCTTTAAAATAAGGCTTAGAAGCAGAACAGATGTTACTGAAGTAGAAGGAAAATGAGATCTTACAGCATAAAAACTTTAATTTTTTCTTTCAATGTCTTAAGAAATGTCAAAGGAAGCTATGAAATTGCATTACTTATGATAAGCAACAGTAAAACTGGCTTTCATCTATTGAGAATGCATTAGGAAAAATTAAATCCATCCTGATGATGGGAGAAAGGTGGTTAATGAAGTCTTGCCCAGGACCACAACCCCTTTCAGCCCAATGAAACTCGGATGTGTTGTACTGAGTATCAATGTCAATGCAATGAGTGAAACAAGAACACAACAGCTTTGGATTCTTTGTATCTGTACATACCATGGAGTACAAAAGGCGGGAATGATTCAAAAATCCTGGATCCAGTCTTCTTAATTCATTAAAATCCATTTTCACAAGAACTGACACATTATACCAATATTTATTCAGATTTCTCTCTGAAATTGAACAAATTAAAATATAAAAGCATCAGATCCAGAACAAACTTGGATCAATAGACATGCTCCAATTGACTGCAGTGGACTTGGACTTACAGCCATTACATATAAAGGTATTTCTCAGTTGACAGAACTAGTCAGGGAGAAGAATTAGAGCAAAAAGATTCCACCAAACCTGTAAAGCCTGTTATCAGGGGCTCACAGATTCAATATTGAAACCAATAATCCTTGAACTGAACTTTCATCACGTTAAGGGTGATTGGTTATTATGTTATGAAGATAAACAGTAACTCTTCAACAGGAAAAGTCAGGCTTACTTCTGTTGGAGGGAGTTTAGAATTTGTCAACAACATACCCTCTGGTATAGGATCCATACATCCTGTTCCTTTGAATGAGTTACAACATTTTTTAACTCCTGGACAGTCAGTGTCAAATGTGCATGAATGGTTCAATGATTCCGTTTCCTCGTTTGGACAAACCCCAGGTCGTAAGGCAAATTCATTGGCTCTGTTCAATGCTGTGTAATAAAAACATGTAATGGCAAAATTACATGTTATATTTAATTTCTTTAACTTTGTGATATTTAATTTAAGGGATACAGCTCTTCATAGTCCTGAACGAGGGTCTCTTCTTGGGGCTGTCTCGGAGAGATGGGGGATAGGAATAGCAACAAGATAAGAAACGTTCTGTAAAAAACTGGCAACAACATTAACATTTTCTGATTTTATGACTTTTTTCATGATACTGTAATCAAAATTTTGAGTTAATAGAAAAGGCCGTATTCAGTAAATGAAAAAAACCCCAGAATTTCTGTAAAATATGGAAAATAGAACATTCCCAGCAAAACAGAAATAATTTGGAAATTTTCATGAAGTCATTTTCCTTCTTTTTTTGACAAGTCCAAATAGAATGAAACATAAGGGTCAATAAACAGCAAAAAGGAGAGACATTCTGGCTTTACTCTGCCAGCTCTTTCAGGTTTGCATAATCTAAGCTATTCAGCACCTATGGAAATGTGTGTTTCCATGGGGATAAATTCTGCTCTCATTTACACCCTTGCCATACAACTGGAAGTTACAGGGTTACATACTAAGAAAGGATAACATAATTCAGCCCATGATTTCAGCCCTGACAGTGTCCATTTCATTTCTGAGACATCAATAAGAATGCTATCCTAAGGCAGATTTAGCCAAGAAGAGGGTGGCTAAGGAAGAACAGCACTACTTGAAAGGTAAAATGCACACAATTTTCCTGGCTTAATGTCAATAGCTGGTTTCAATCTGAGGTAGACTGAAATTTTCTGTGATTTAATATCAGGCTTTACTGAACCTTCCCTTCATACTTTCCATCAGACATAGGCCTAACTGGTGCTCATCTTTGCTAGTCTATATGTATTGGGTCCCCTAGTTTCTTCTCCATTCACTGTACCAAATGCTTTTTGGTCTTATTAATCCTATTCTGCTGAATAGACAATTTACTTCAGCTAAGAGGAAAATGAAAATAATTCCTATGATTGCAGCCAATGGTGTTCAAACTAAGAAAAACACATTCACCATAATCAAACTTCTAGGGAATTAAATGGATGCTCCCAATTTTTAATGGGGTTTCAATTTCTCATATCCCAATGCGAGATAAATTTAAAAAAAAAATTATTTTTCTGTCAAGTAGACTCTAATATTGAATGAGAGCTTGTGCCCCCTGCTAAATATACTCCTTTAACAGGCTAGTAAGCTTAATTAATTAATATTTAAAGTGAACATATGTAACTTGCTGGTGATTATGTACTTCAGGTCCCCCTCTGTGTTAATCCACAGAGGATATAAACCTAACCACAGGCAGGGAGGTCTGGTTTTTATCTTAAGATGTATCAGTTAATACTTTTAGGTCTGGAGGGCCCCAGTTCCACCCAGTTCTATCACCCAGCATGTTGGTGATGGTGTCCATCATATATGTGCAACATTACATATTCAGAATTTGTAGCACAGTTTCTCAACTGGCCATGCTGTCATAGGAATTGCTTTTAAAAATGTCCAATGAAGGCTATGGCTACACTAGTGAATTTACAGCTATACTAATGCAGCTGTGCTGCTGTAAGATCACTCATGTCGCCGATCTATGCAGATGGGAGAGAGCTCTCCTGTCAACATAACAAAACCAGTTCAACGACCGGCTGTAGCTCTCCCGCCGACATAGCGCTGTGCACACTACCACTTCTGCCAGCAAAACTTAAAAGATTTTTCACAGCCATGAGACATACAAGTTTTGCCGACATAACCAATAGCGTAGACATGGCCTTAAATTTCACACAGGTCGTTTATATATTCACTTACCTACACAGGCCAACAAACTGGCATGAGAGTTATTTGCACACGCAGTTTTAAAGATTTGAGTCCAGAATACTTTGGATGTGTCATTCCCATACTTTTTTAAAACAGTATTTTGTTCTCAACATGTATCAAATCAAATGCTGGGTGTATTAGTAGAGCTGTATGCAATCTGACAAAGGGCTGGGCTTAGCTCTATAGTTTGCCCCAAAAAGGTTGACAGGGAACCGACCCTTGACATATCAATTGAAAATTAGCTTTCAACAAGGTGAACATCCACAGTGAAGCCCAGCAGCCTTACTCCTCAACAGATACGTGGTTGCTTTAGCTCAGAAAGTGCCCTGGGATTTTTGCAAGGGAGGAGCTGGTACTTCGGAGATAGGCTGGCTCAGAGGAGAGAAATTCACCAATTTGCAATAAAGGATGGTTTTGTGGCTTAAACACCACATTGGGACACATGAGATACAGAACTAACTCACAGCTCTGCACAGACTTCCTGTGCAATCAAGGACAATGCACTTAATTGCTTTAATTCAGTTCTCCATCTGTGAAAGAGGGGAATTACTTTCACCTTTTTCTGCCTTGAGTATTTGGATGGTAAGCTCTTTGAAGCAAGAGGCAGTCTCTCACAATCTGTTTGTACAGAAAGTAACACAGTAGGCCCCCATTAAAAGTTGGAGACTGACCCCTTGCTAACGGCCTGCCAACCACCTCCTCTGAGGCAGAGGTGGCTTCCCAACAGTGTCCCCTGTAAGCTGTGCTCTTGTGCAGCCGCTCAGGAGAGATTCAAATGTTGCCCAGTTGATTAGCAGAGCACTCACAGCTAGGTTTTGATTCTAATGATGGTGCACATTCACACAAGTTTTGGTGCACATAAAACATTCATTCCACACATGGATGGAAAAAATCCACACAGAGATGCAAATGATTAGAGGGAACATTGCTTCCCAACATTGTTTCTCTTTCCTTTCTTCCATGTCCTTTGTGAACTTTACCAAGTCCTGTGTATGGCTACCACCAGGCCTCATTTAGAGCTTAATAACAGAATCAGTCTTCAAAAACAAACCCAAAATAAATCCCTTTACCACCACCCAAAAGTTCATACTTCTGTCTAGCTCTTCTACCACACATAGAGCTCTTCCCACGTTTCAGGCTGCTTCTTTGTCAAATCACCATTCCCAGCCTTTCCTAACAGGAACTCAATCTTCTAGTTCTGCCTTCTCCTGCCAATGTCTCCCCTGTTCAGAAAGAGAAGACAGCATATAACACTGTTCTCCTTCTGAGAACTCCTCCTGATTGGGAAATAGGGGACACACAGCCCTGCCCATCTTATAATACAGATTTCCTAATTCCACACCCTTACAAAAACAGTGTTGTGGATTTTCCCCATCCAACTATTATGCCTCCTCTCTTCTAGCTCTGGCCATTTCCTATACCCTTGCTCCCTCCAGTGTCCCAGGACATGGTCAACAGGCTCCCTCATGGGCCAACACAAACTTACTGTGCAATCTACTATAGTAATACAAATAGTAAGCTTTCCTGTTCTGCAAACTACCACCAGCCTATGTGTACTGAACTTTTCTGAGCTTGAACTCAGAATTATGAAACCATCACATCCTGAAACCTAGGCTCATTTTAAACAAGTTTGAGGTTCAATATAGCTATTTCACACAGTTCTTTTTTTAGCATGTGAAACTGTAGCATAAGCCATTAATGAGTCATGTGCAAATGATGGGAATGCTATTGAGTTCTGGCTTAAAGCCATACTGTCCATTAATCTAAAATCTAAAGGTCATAATTTTTACATCAGCAGAGAAACAAAGATGGACTCATATCACGTTTCTGTCTAATCATATAAAACACACTTTAAAATCAATTTATTCTCTCTACTGTAAGTATTGTGGGCACAGTCACCCAGAATTAAGCCAACAGCAAAAACCAGCATAGTTTCCAGGAGCAAACTTCTATAACTTTACACAAATAATAAAATAGAAATGCTGTTTCCATCGCTTAGCAACCAAAAGCTTAGTTACAAGCTTATTGCATATCACCACAGCAATTTCTAGTTAGGCAGGAGAATCCTCTGGGATAGAGATGCTAAGGGACGTGATTAGCTCAGTGTTAACCTCTGTGTCTCTCAACTTGATCAGGACTCACAATATACAGTTTTCTTAAAAACTTCCCTTAGCCTATCCTCCTGAGTTGGCTTCAGGTTATGGTATAGCATAAATTAAAAGTACTACAACTGTCACAGGGACTAACAAATGTGGACTAACAAAGACAGATTATTTTAGGCACAGTTGCTGTCATTGTCTATTATTAAAGTTGCCAAGACTTTCCTTTATAAGACCCTGTGTTTTCAGTTACTTATGACTTTGCCATACTTTAATAATTTCGGATGAAATTTTCCTACCAGGGTATCTGCCTCAGGCTGATTTTTTTTTTCCTTCAGGGGGAAATTTTAACCAAAATAGTTCAGGAACTTCTGAGAATGTTGTTAGGGAAAATTACATTGTTTTGCCCGTGTTAAAAAAATCTGGCAACATTTTTTTGAGAAGGACTAGCACCTCCATGCTTCGGAGCAGGGACTTGACATTTGGCAGGGGGCCTTGAGAGATATCAAGCCCAGTTCCCCGCCCTCATGGCAGGACAAAGCACCATCTAGATCATCCCCGATAGATGTCTATCCAACCTGCTCTTAAATATCTCCAGTGATGGGGATTCCACAACCTCCCTAGACAATTTATTCCAATATTTAATCCCCTTGCCAGTAAGGAAGTTTTTCCCTAATGTCCAACCTAAACCTCTCTTTCTGCAATTTAAGCCCATTGCTTCTTGTCCTATTATCACAGGCCAAGGAGAACAATTTTTCTCCCTCCTCCTTGTGAAGCTTTTTCGATACTTGAAAACTGCTATCATGTTCCCTCTCAGTCTTCTCTTTTCTAAACTAAAAAAGCTCAGTTCTTTCAGTCTTCCCTCATAGTTTATGTTTTCTAGACCTTCAATAATTTTTGTTGCTCTTCTCTGGACCTTCTCAAATTTCTTCAGACCTTTCTTGAAATGTAGTGCCCAGAACTGGACACAATACTCCAACAGAGGCCTAATGAGTGCAGAGTAGAGCAGAAAAATGACTTCCTCTATCTTCCTCACAATGCTCCTGTTAATGCATCCCAGAATCATGTTTGCTTTTTTT